ATCTGAGTGTCAGTGTGAAGTCAGCTTTTCTGTAAAACTTTATGAATATTGGTGATAGTTGAATTAATAAACCTAAAATAATAATTACATCTGTAGACATATTGCGAATGTTTTATCCAACAAAGAATATCTGAACTCGTTTGACATGAAAATTTGAATTCGCTGTCGATTTCGTTCGTAAATTTAAAATAAAATAACCGCTTTATCTTACTTCAAAATCAATAAACGACGTCTTTCTCTGATGAAAGTTTTTGATTGAATGATTGATCAAGCAGAAATGTAAGTGACGTTTGAACGGCACTAAAGTATAGTCTTTCTTAATAATTGTTGTCTCCGTAAAACGAGTTCCTACCAATCGTTAGAATTTAAATATTATTACAAAATGTACCGACGTTTACCTCTTGTAATGACAGACTCATTTATTCTGCCTTATCTTGGCTGCTTGAAGTGTTCTGTTTATGAACTTTTCAAATCCTTTCGACAAAGATTGCTTAATTACGTTTGAGAGAATACGTTCGACCATATATACCGTCAACAAATCTAGTAAACATATTGAGTCAACGTATTTTATTAATATTTTGCTGAGGTATGATACGTAATTTGTATCTATTACCCAATATTCCTAACATTGTCAAAAAACATTATTAGAACATAAGAAAACTTCCATCTGAATAAATTACTCAAATGTTTTATTTAAGGAAACACCAATTTGACAAAGACGGACAGTGTGCAGTTCAAGCTCACTAAATCCTGAACTTCCACGGTAATTTGAAGAAGACTCTAGATCTATTGAACAGATTGGATCTCTTATAGTATGTGATCTCATTTTTAATAAATTGAATTATATTTGATCAGATTTTATTCTAATAAACGACTGGTAGTCATGTTAAATTATTCGGTAACGATTTATATGATAAATAATCTTTCGTCAAGAAGAACGAATAATAATAATACGAATCACATACACACTACAGAAATTTTTGCTGGAACAGTCCACGCAATCATAACTTATTTCGTTCTTTCTATAAATCGTGTAACGTAAACGACAATTCTGTTATTCAAATTGAAAAATAACAGAAGATTAACAATTATAAATGCACGTCGTATACGATACGTTTACATTCTGATGTAATTTTCATTTCAGGATAACGATGCATGCAATGATCTGAATGCCAGTTTATGGCTACCAATCAATGACGTTCTGACCAACCTTAGTGAATCGTAAAACAAAATAGTAAATTTGACGAAAAGCAGCAACAAATGGTTGTGAAGGCTTGAACAACCATCAATCACGTAAGTATGACACTTGATCATTTTCATGAGAAACGTATTATCTGAACTGCTGTGAAACGTTTGGTTATTCACGAAACACCATATCTTGTTTGCTCACGAAAGTCGTTTGTAAATCAATATAACTCTATTCTAATTTGAGATTCACTTATTTGAACCTCTGTTATCGTACGTGATCTTTCAACGGTAACACAATAATTCTTGAATCGGATCATTCCTTATTTAGTGACTTTTACAAATAAATCAAAAAACAAAGTCCAGACAGTTCGTGTTCGTTCAGAAAACAGTTGACTTTGTACACGTTATCAGAATAATGCGTTGTAAATCATTTGACCGTATTACTTCAATAAACGTATATAATATCAATTAAACTGTATTTTGTTGTTTCATTTACAAAGCGAACATGTTTTCAAAAAGTACTACAGAAAGAATACGGTTCTCCAGCTTGATTATTACGCTGGCGAGGACGCTTGAAAGTAGGTTTCTCTCTCACATTCACTTAGGTTTGATAAACTTGAATACATTTTGCTTTGATCTCCTAAATGTGACATTGTATATTACCAGCCATTCAATATGTACACGATAGATCATATTAGAGATTTTTGTTGGAAAACATTTTACCAAGTAATACGTTTTTAGGCATTTAGAAGATTCATTGATAGAGGCAATGTTTTGTTGTACTTGTTTTGCATATTTGTTGAAAAATGTTTATTTCTATGATTTCCGAAACTTTTTCCAGGCTGCAGATACATACAATTTCCAGAATGTACGCTTTTGCATGTATAGATCATTTGCATACTGTTCAGATAGCTATCGAGAAGCCACTCACGCATATAGTCGACTGATGAACTAATCGAATAAATCCTTGAATCTTTGAAGTGCAGTGACGAACTATTTGGATAATGTTCAAATATTTTAACGACAATATACATATGATTTTAAAAGTACGCTGCTTATTCTTCAAATGACTGCTACCGTTTCTCATCAAATTACGCTTTTTGTTTCCTGCTAATATTTGTCATGCAGAAAATTTGTCTCGTTTCCCGCTCACAGAATGTTTCATAGTATCTTCATTAAATGAAATAAGCTTTATTCTGTTTCAAATATACATGTACTTATGGAGTGTTAGTTGGACAACCAATTTAGCATTCATTATGTTCAGAACCTCAACTTGTATAGACTTGGCCGGTAAAAAGTCAAAATGTGAAAACTTCATAAATCGGAGCGTGTGGAACATGTATTCCGCATTCCTGTTCACCAGTATTGACCACGTTTTATATGCGTAAAAGAATAAGTCGGAATGAAGCTAAGAGCTGAACAGCAAAATCATAGCAGGAAACCATAAATCGCCGAACACTAGGATGATTCATAATCGTAGGATTCAACTACATGTTCCAGAACCACAAGTTTATTGTTATCAATAATTAGAAACTGGGAATAATTTGGCTAAAAACCATTCTCATTTGTACATCTGCATTCAGTCTTTATGTTCTCTGTAGTCCTAAATTTCTGAGGTAGTCGGCCTCCTAATCGTTTTAATTTCGGTTTACTTCACTCGATTTTCATCTTTGAAAAATATCGTTGAACACTTGAAAATGAATACAGTGGAATCGAAATAATGATAATATTGGCAATTAGGTCGGTTGTAATTGCAATGTGAAATGCTGAATTCACACTCACTCTAAGTTATGATATATTTCGTTCGTTGGCTGGAATACAGAAGCTATTAGAATATAACGAAACAAATGGTCATTTCTTGAAACTGTAGTCCCTTCAGCTCACTGCGAAATTCGTGCGTTAGTCAAAATATGTGTTCTTCAGATCAAGATCTTGGAGTAGGTGAGTCATGTTACCAAAAATGTATGATAGATTTGTCAGACGGAAGTTATGATGATAAACACGCGAGTGTATGAATAATGTCTTTCTTTCCGTTTTGTGCGAATCAATCAAAATGTTTACCTAATAATAAAGTATTTCAGATATATTCCCGGCAATCTTTTGAAAAGTGTACTGAAATCTGAAGAAATGTTTGTATTCTTACAAATTTCTTGCCGCATGAGCTAATGTCAAGACGTGATAGCTTGTTGTTCTGGTCAATAACAATTTCATATAGATAATATTCTAGATCTGTTTACATCATCAGTATTATATTTATAAACAACGTTTTGAAGTGGAACACTTAGATTGTTTCAAAGCAGCTCTCAATACTGTTAAATGGTTGTCAAGGAGCATTGTCTGGTTTCAACTTTTAAAAGATATTCCCGATATTTATATATTCTTAAGAATTTTTGCGGATTCCCAACCCGATGGTGGACGTGTTCGGTTGACTAAGCTGATTGTTTCGTTTTTGGATATTTCATTTTTATTCTAAACAACATCATCTACCTAAAGATTGTGCTGATGATGTTGTACAAAAGATCAACGAAAGCTTCACAAGTGAAGCAACCAGCGCAAATGAACAACAAATGTCAGAACAACCGAACTCAGTTTCAAAATTTCTCCACTTGAATAAGGACTGACGCACTCAAAAAATTGCGTGGTTCAATTTCGAAAGACACCTTCCTATTATGGAACAAAGATTCGATTCAAATGTAGTTAAAAAACGCGAAAATATTTGTAAAGTTCTGTATATTATTGTAGCAGTAAACTCCTGTTACGCTCGTCTACAGGTGTGCCTAAACTATAAAGAGTTCAACCTAGTAGAGCCACGAGATAAAACAATGAACCGGCATCCAAGTGTAGTGTGCCGATGGCTGCGTGTTCTTAAGCTCGTTTATACATCAGAAGGTGAACTCATATTGATGAATACGTTTATTGTAGGCACACCACATAGCGAAGAGGAGAAGCGAATAGGAGAAGGCTGTTGAGCCAACTCTTTGGATTGCAATGCAAGCGAATGAACGAAGCGACGTGGAGAAGGCTAGTGAGCCAACTCAAAGAGATAGAGTATGACTAAGAATATATAGTCAGATAAGAATAGGACAGACATATGACAAGCGAAATAGGTATGCACACACATGAATAAAAGCGACGAATGATTGACAAGGTCAAATGCAAGCGATACAAATCATGTGAGCTCATGGGAATATTACGAGAATAACACTAAAGCGAAAAGGATGAGTAAGTGCGTAAGTGTAAGCAATGCTCAGTCGTATGAGCTCATACAAAGCAGATAATAAAAAATACCAATGGTACATATGTGGTGCTGTGGTGCGAACTACTTATAAGTAGTATATAGCGTGAGTGTCAACGTAAAGTCTGGTAGCATAATGTGGGGGGAAGATCAAGAAAGGAAGAGTCAGAAAACAATGGAATTTGTATGAAACGCATGAAGAGTGATAATGGATTGATGTTTGGCAACAGGAACAGTCCACTTCCATAGGATGAACTGATCTTTTGCAAATGAACGATTTACGATATGGTTTTCCGATTTTACTGAGTAACTCTGTAATTTTCGTTAAATACAATTCGGTTACCTCCACCTGTGTTCTCATTCACTACATTTGGTGTCGCTGCCTACGCAAAGGATGAAGATTCCATGGCCGAAGGAGTTTGAAGACGGGGATGTGCGGTGCTTCCTGAAGGAGTTTGAGGCCGTGGCGGAGCTGGTGGGGGTGAAGGAACCGAAGGCGAAGCTGGTGGTGCTGGGGACGCTGCTGAGAGGAAGGGCGAAGGCCGTATATGACGGCCTGGACGGTGACGGAAGCGGTAATGCGGCACATTGTGGCGGACCATGGGATACCAAAGATAATATTAACCGATCAAGGTCCCTGTTTCGAGAGTGATGAGTTCAAGTCCCGTCTAAAGCAGTTAGGTATCAAGAGAGTACGAACAACGCCGTATCATCCACAGACGAATGGGTTAACGGAAAGGAATAACCGAACGCTAAAGGAATGGCTAGCATCTAAAGGGGGTGACTGGGAGAAAGAATTACCATTAATCTTGCTGGCACATCGTGCCTCGGCACAGGGAACAACCAGGAAGTCACCGTTCCAGCTGATGTATGGCAGACGGCCGAGACTACCAACGCATGATAAAACCTGGCCGCAACAACAGAGATGGAATACAACAAGATTGAGAACAGAGCGGAGACAAGCAATCAGGAATGTGAGAGAGAAACAAACATCAGACATGGAAAAGTCAGAACAGGAGAGAAAGAACTGGAGATTGTTTGAAGTGGGAGATCAGGTGAAGTGTAGAGAACGGAAATATACCACAGGAAGAGGGCCAGGGTCAGGTAAGCTGATCCCGAAGTGGGAGGGACCGTACGTCGTCACCGAGAGGCGCGGCGCAGTGTATACGATCCAGAAAGGAAACAAACAGAAACGCGTGAATGCCAGTGAACTCCAAAGGTGGTTCCAAGTGCGCCAAGAGGGCGAGCCACAAACACTGATGAAGAAGACGGCTGTACGGAGATCAGAAAGACTGCGACGACAGCTTATTAAAAGGGGGGACGAGTGTGGTGCTGTGGTGCGAACTACTTATAAGTAGTATATAGCGTGAGTGTCAACGTAAAGTCTGGTAGCATAATATGGGGGGAAGATCAAGAAAGGAAGAGTCAGAAAACAATGGAATTTGTATGAAACGCATGAAGAGTGATAATGGATTGATGTTTGGCAACAGGAACAGTCCACTTCCATAGGATGAACTGATCTTTTGCAAATGAACGATTTACGATATGGTTTTCCGATTTTACTGAGTAACTCTGTAATTTTCGTTAAATACAATTCGGTTGCCTCCACCTGTGTTCTCATTCACTACACATATGAGTTGTTGCTATACAAATGGCTTGGTTAAATAAATTAATCGAAAGGGCTTAACCAAGTTAGATGTAAGAGAACTGGAATATATGTGGAGGCACTACAATAGCTCCCTTCCAGCAAACAAGGATACGAAAGTGTCTGTGTTTGCGAAAAAAATCAAAATAGTCGGAATGCATCAAAAGGTACGAAAATTAGAGTTACCTTGTCCGAGTACGTTCGTAAGTTCGCATAGTAACAGATCAAAAATATGTGGTAAGCGGTTATTAGCAAAAATAATCGATTTCGAATAGAATACATTAGGAGCAGTTGTACGATACGAAAATGTAATACAAATGCTGCAAAATATTTAATATCGTTTAGGCATGACAGTTTGGACGGAATTCGATAATCGCATAGACATTACGGTAAGGCTCATCGATAAATCGAGTGGCTGCACATAGGTGAAGAAATTGCGGTCGAGATTATCGTGGAAAAAATCTGGAGAATAAAGCTGCGTACAGATGCGATGCATGGACATTAAATGCATATCGAAAACATAAGTTACTACAATTGAGTATATGACTCCAAACTTATGTGTATGATAGCGTTGCAAACCGTTGCCAGCGTTGGGGTAGTCGAAAAACATGCGAATATCAGCGTGCAGGAGGTTCGCTCGACTGCTTGAACTGCTGTTTCGTGTGCATGTGCGTAATATCATACCACCAATTTACTTAGCAGGCTGCAAGATTTTCGAGTACGAGCAGCTGATGAGTACATAGACGATATCTCCAATGCGATAATCGTATAGCCACGGGAATATTAATGGACCATAATTGTCGTTGAGCCGTTGCTTTGATAAGCGATTCGAAACATAATAATGCGATACGGCAATATAAATGGAATGAACTCACCTTAATCATGAATGTCGTTCATGGTATCGAAAAATAATTCCGTGAGTTACAAATGTCGTGCCGTGAATACAATATTCGTAATGCGATTTGATTAGCGATTAAGATAATTCCATTATTGTCATAATATCATGATTAATCATAATAATGGTTCTTTCTCATTAATACGATAATGATAGCGATAATTCGAGAAATAGATTAATGCGACGAGTCGGTACATAATCAAAATGACGATAAGATAATGCTTGATTCGTTCAGCTAATGCATTAAGTATGAGAACTGCTTTGTCGCTGCATGGCGTCGGGATTTCCAGTTAGTGGTTCTGTTCGATTTGTCCTCGAAATTACCAACTGGTTGGTTATATTCGATTTGTCATCGGAATCGTCGAATTATGTAGTGAGAGTTTACTGATCTTCTGTGAAGACGTATGGACGAATGAATCGAGCGAAGCAAATAGGGAGTGATATGAATGAACGACGGGTTCGCCATTTTGTACGGTGGCCGATTTTGCTGACGTCGGGATAACCATGTTGTAGTGCACTGGCGAGCGAATGTACGGAAGAATGATCGCGTTCGATTCTACGTCGAAATTACCAATTAATTGGAAGCGTTCGATTTTTCGTCAGCATCAGGAAACATCCTGAGAACATCGGGCAGTTTTCTGATGAGTACGTAGATTCAACGGCGGGGTAACCATTATGTATGGTGGCCAATTGTGTTGACGTTGGGCTCACCATTATGTAGTGTGCCTATAACTGCGTGTTCTTAAGCTCGTTTATAAATCAGAAGGTGAACTCGTATTGATGAATACGTTTATTTGAGGCACACCACATAGCGAAGAGGAGAAGCGAATAGGAGAAGGCTAAGAGCCAACTCTTTGGATTACAATGCAAGCGAATGAACGAAGCGACGTGGAGAAGGCTAGTGAGCCAACTCAAAGAGATAGAGTATGACTAAGAATATATAGTCAGATAAGAATAGGACAGACATATGACAAGCGAAATAGGTATGCACACACATGAATAAAAGCGACGAATGATTGACAAGGTCAAATGCAAGCGATACAAATCATGTGAGCTCATGGGAATATTACGAGAATAACACTAAAGCGAAAAGGATGAGTAAGTGCGTAAGTGTAAGCAATGCTCAGTCGTATGAGCTCATACAAAGCAGATAATAAAAAATACCAATGGTACATATGCGTTGTTGCTATACAAATGGCCTGGGTAAATAAATTAATCGAAAGGGCTTAACCAAGTTAGATGTAAGAGAACTGGAATATATGTGTAGGCACTACACAAGTACGCTACTATGAGCCTTTATTCAAATTAGGTCGATACAAAGTCTCGATGAAACTTAGATGGTTCATTCTGCAACAATGAGCCAGAACAGATTGAATCCAAAAATCTGAATTGCGTTTATTTATAATCCATGTTGACATACTTGAGCCCACTAAAATGACACAGTGACTTATCACAGCCAAAGATTTCTACGGTTGTAAATGTGATCTCGAAGTCAACTGAACGGTCCATGCCATGAATCAAAAATAAAGATATTTATCAAGTGATTTCTGTAGATCTAACATCCCTAACACTATTTTCTTTTTGAAAGCCTTTCTCTGCTGTGATCCGCTTGCATCTTGACAGTTGTTCGCCGCTTTCTCAGAAGGTAACTTCATTAACCGACATTAGCATGTGACAGATATTATTCTTGTGCATTTGCTGCTGGCAGGTTGAATGTACTACTCCGTATGTCATTATTAAGATTTTCTGCTTTTGATGAACGATGTGTATTCAAAGACGAGCGTTTATTAATGACCCGTTGACAGACTGTTTGGATTTGATTGAAGGTAAATTGAACCCTCTTGTCAGATTCGATAACATCCAGTATGCCATTTCAACAGAAAGCTTTGATGAGGAGACATATTGACCTAGTTCTAGTAGGCGGCATTACCGGGCTAATTTCTGGCCATTTTGTGAAGGCGTCGACCACAAATAAATACATAATTCCATTGATTGAACCAGCGAAGTCGACATGTATTCTGAACAATGTATGCTCAGGTTTGGGCCATAAAACTAAGGGAATTTCAGCATCAGTGTTTTTTCGCTTGCTGACAACGCATGAATTTTACAACCAACGCTGTGACAAGTATATATTCGAGGGACCAGTGTGCATAAAAATTCGTTTAGCACGAGGGTGATCAAGATGGAAAAGTCGTAGCACATTTGTAAGGAGGAATTTTGACATCAATCCTCTTTTCTTCAAACATAATGCAATCGTTCACGATACAGAGTGAATCTTGCCGCTGAAACCGTTGCTCCATGTCACCATGAAACTCTTTCAACCGTTGACGACATATTTTTTCGTCATCTTGATGATGCGGTCGTTTCTAGAAGCACTGGGTATGTCTGTTTCAGACACCGCAAATCGCGGTTATCAGATTACATTCGGTGTGGTCTTCTAATGAGAGAGATTCGATTACTGTGTTTTTCTCGGCTGTCAATCGATCACAAATGAGTCGTCACAAGGTGTTTACTTAACGTAATTGTTGGGCGCGTCTCATCCTTGAAGACGCTTTGAAGAGTAAGCTGCGATGTCAGATTTAGAACCGTCTGCTGCTTAATGAGGCTTGCAATCTGCGAGGAGTGAGAAATTCCGACCATACAGCCATACGGACAACGTCAAACATGAAGGCAAGAGCCTATCACTCTCTCTAGATCTGCATATTTTTGGCTGTGATTAGTGTACGAGATGCATGCACAATGGCTTTTTCTGCCGCGTCTAGAAACTTTTGTGAAATGACAGCACCTAGACTGTATGCTGTAGCGTGTTCTTCCACGATGATTGGCATGGATGGATCGTAGTGTTAAAAACAATTTTGAGCTAGTTAAGGACCTGAGTTTACTAAAATCTGCGACACATATTATTCAAGTTTCAAGTGTTTTTTCTCTGAAACAGACTAATCAGTCAAGTGCGAATATCATGCATCGAATGAACAAAAGCTGAATAATAATTGAATAATCCGATGATAGATCGTAATTTCGAGATTTTGATGTGAGTGGAGATCAGTTCGACAGATCGCATTTTTTCAGGATCCGGTGAGCGGCTGTCGACATTAAAAATGAAAACCAAATACCGCAATAAAAACTTACATTTTTCTGGTTGTAGCTGTGAATCGTTCTCGTAACTTTTTTCACAAAAATTAGGATATCATTGGGAGAAACTGCAACCTCTTGAGATATATGATTGGAAAGTATCGAACAATTGCTTGAAGATAGATGAGGAAGTCTTAACTGCAAAAGACTGTTGTATTGGAGAAAAAAGACGATGGATATTTATAGTTAACATCTCTTTCGATGCTTCATCAACGTCTATTTGCTAACAAGCATCAGCTTGACCGAGCTTTACGAAGAAATCTTCACATATACAGCAAGATAATGAGATCTACTGGGACTAGTAGAAGATGATGATATTGTTTCACATATGCATTTAGACCTTTTGAGATATCAGCACATACGTATTGTGCCGTTGGTCTTCCGTTGCTGCTCAATTTGAGTAACTAACGAGAGGTAGAATTCCTTCTTGTTGACAGTTTCAACAAAATTGTTTCTTTCACGACAGTACACCGACTTAATGCAGG